CTCTCTCTCTCTCTCTCTCTCTCTCTCTCTCTTTCTCTCTCTTTCTCTCCCTCTCTCTCTTTCTCTATTTAAAAAACAGAAAAAAGAATGAAATTTTGCGAGAGGGAGATGATAATGTATCTAAAAGTAGCACTCGTGTTTTTCACTTTCTTAATGGTAACCTTACCAAATATGGTAACCTTGGCCATGGCTGATGGGAGAAAGGTTATTCATGCATTGTTTTATTTTGTTTTGAGTTCTCAGCTCTACATTTTACAGTTTCCCTGTCTTTACCTCTGTGGCCAGCCTCTTAGTTTCTCTGTAAAGGTGATAACTTTATAGTGGCACACAATGGTGAAGGTTGGGGCAATCCTAGAGGCAGGGCTCCCGGGATCACAATGGTTGGTGTGGAACTGAGGATGGCCTGGGGTTTAGCTCTGTGAGGAGTCTGTTTAGTGTCTGGAGTTCTGGTTTTTGCCCTAGGACTGGAGTTGGCTGGAGTCTCAGTCCACAGTCTGGAACTATGGGGCTTTGCCTGGTACTGGACCTTCCTGGGGTTCAAGGCAAAGTCCAGCCTCACTCTCAACATGGAGGGCTTCTCTCTCTAAAGTGCACTCTCTGAGGTTGAGGGGCAGGTAAGAGAAGAATGTGAAACTGTCCTTCCTACCCCTATCCTATCCATGCATCTTTTCCTATTTTTTTTTTGCTATACCAGGTGCTATAATCTCTCCACTCTTTTGAATGTATTTGTGTTAGGGGATAGTTTTCAAGCTGATGTTTCTACCAGGGGATGAGCTCTGAAAGGTCTTATTCTGCCATCATTCTTAAGTAACTGGCACAAAGTAAGCACTCAACAAATATTAGTTGGCATTATTAGCTATTATTAGCTCTACATACTAAATTTGATACATTTTTATTGAATACTTCCTGTGTGTCACGCAAGATTACCATCTGAAAGTCTATTCAATAAGAAGCTATAAGAAAAGTGGTTTTCAAAGAGTGTTTTAGAGGGCCCATGAGTGCTTATAGCAAAAAAATAAAATTATAAACCTGTGATATCAAGAGAAGTTTCCCTAAAAATGTGATGTTTAAGCTAGGACTTGATACAGGGATAGGAAAAAGTTAAGTTTTCCTTATGTGTTTGAGTTTGTGCAATATGTGTGTTCTGGGAAGAGTGGGGGAAGAGAATAAAGGAACATTCCAGAAAATAAAAGAATAAAAATGCCCTATGGTGAAAAGAAGCGTGGGTTGTGAGAAGTCACATTTGGCTTGATGACTAAACACAGTCAGGGAGACATTAACTTGGAATGAGTATAGTGTGGATTTTATCTTGAAGTCACTGGGAAGACCTTGGAATGTTCTAATTAGAAAATGGTAATAGTGGGATGTTTTTCATTGTTATGTTGGGCATTTAACCAGAGAGCCTTGCTTTAAAGGTGGTTGTATATGAGTTAGTCTTTCTATTAGATAGTAATAACTTTATGTTCCCCATGCACGATAGCCATATAAGACATGCTACCAGAAACAATCCATGACACTTCCTGAAACACAGGTGTCCTGTTCTTCCTGAAAGAGAGCTCTAGTTATCTCAGAAGTTCTCTGAAAAGGAAGCTGAACCACTGATATGAACAACTGTGTGATAGAATGTTTTTGTTACCAATAACATAATAGCATAAGATGGGAGTTTTTGTTGGCTTTTTTTGTTTCTGTGACCAAAAGAACTGACAAGGAAAATTAGAGGAGGAAAAGTTTACTTAGAGGCTTATGGTTTCAGAGGTCTCAGTCCATAGACAGCTGGCTCCATTCTTCAGGGCCCAAGGTGGAGCACAACATCATGACATAGGAGTGGGGTGGAGGGAAGCAGCTGGGGAACATGGCACCAGGAAGCAGAGACAGCTCCGCTCAACAAGGACAACATACATATGCCCAAGGCATGCCCCCAGGGACCCAAGTCCCCTAGCCACTGCCTACCTGCTTACAGTTACCATCTAGTAGATCCCCACCAAGGGATTAATGCACTGCTTAGGTTAAGATCCTCATAATTTGATCATTTCACCTCCAAACTTTCTTTCATTGTTCCACACAGGAGCTTTTGGGGACAAATCACACCTAAACCATAACAATGGGTGAGTTATTTAAAAAAAAAGAGATATGTCTTACCTCACAGCTCTGGAGACACAAGGTCAAGGCCCACATCCTGGGCACTCCATTGTAATGATCTTACTCATCACCAAAGGCCCATTCTCTAAACACCATACTCTGATTATGCTTCTGCCACTTAATTCTCGCAATGGGGACTGAATTTCAACATATGAAAATTTGGGAAGCACATTTGAACAATATCCAATCCATAGTTCCTCCATACCTGACTGTAGACAAGTTGGCAAAGAGTATCTTAATTCAAACTTTTATTTTTAAGTAGACTTTTTAGTTTAGGTTTTTCTTTTATATGTGTGTACATGTGTGTGTGTGTGTGTGTATTCTTTTTGTTGTTGTTGTTGATGGACCTTTATTTTATTTAAGTATTTATATGCAGTGCTGAGAATCAAACCCAGTGCCCCACACGTGCCAGCCAAGTGCACTACCGCTGAACCACAACCTTAGCCCCTAGTTGAGGTTTTTCTTTATGCAAAATACATGAGGTTTTTTAAAAAATCAAAACATCCAAATGATAAAAAGATGATGCTAGGACAAGTAAGCCTGCTGCCTCCCTAGATGCCCACTTCAGGTTTTCTCCTCTACAGGCAGGTACTGTGGGTTTTACCTACTTTTTTTCTTGATTTTTTGATGTTGTTTTTGTTTTATTTTTGGTACCAGAGATGGAACCCAAAGGTGCTTAACCACAGAGCCACATCCCCAACCTTTTTAAAAAATATATTTTATTTTGAGACAGGGTCTCTCTAAGTTGCTTAAAGTCTCACTAAGTTGCTGAGGCTGGCTTTAAATTTGAGATCCTCCTGCCTCAGCCTCCAGAGCCACAGGGATTATAGGTGTGTGCCACCACATCCAGCTCTTGTTATTTTAAATGCAAAAAAAAAAAAAAAGCATTTTTTTTTCTGACAGGGATTAGTGAATAAAGTTCAGAAGAACAATTTTCAAAGCCAGGAAGCTCAGGGCCCATGTCCTAGCCTTTCTTAAATTCATTAATGTGTAAAATACTTTAAGCTGTGCTTGGCCCATAAGCTTTGAGTATTATCTTAATTCTTTCATTTATTTTTACCCACAAATGGGAGTATACAAGTATCTCTTCTGCTACTTGCCTTTTTATGTAATATTATTTTTAGTTGTAGTTGGACACAATACATTTATTTATTTATTTATTGTTAGGTGGTGCTGAGGATGGAATCCAGTTCCTCGCTCATGCTAGGCAAGCTCTGTACTGGTGAGCCACAACCCCAGCCCTGCGACTTGCTTTTTAATTATTAATATGTTAGCTTTTGATGCTGGACACAGTGGCAATCACCTGTAATTCTAGTGGCATGGGAAGCTGAGGCAGGAGGATAGCAAGTTCAAAGCCGGCCTCAGCCATTTAGCAAGACCTTAAGAAATTTAATGGGACCCTGTCTCAAAATAATTTTTTTTAAAGGCTGGGGATATGGCTCAATGGTTAAGTTAAAAAAAATAAGATACTAGCTTTTGACAACTTGTTATATTCTATATCTTCATGTGGATTATCTCACTGAATTCTCATGACAACCTTTGGGCTAGGAATGAGTATCCCTGTTTCCAGACTACAAATCTGACTAAGCACAGAGGGGTTACTGTGAAATGTCCTCAAAGACACAAAGCCTGTGTTGGCAATCCAGAAACCTGGATCCAGCATCTTCCCTCTCAGCTCCTTTCCTCTACTACATTTCTAATAATTGCTTGATTTTTTTTTTTTGCTCTCGCTTTTGTTTTGCGTCTTGTTTCTAATAACACATGGTTATGCTCTCACAGACCAAAGTTGATAAAAATTTGAGAACCGAAAATTTTGAAGAAGAGATTCAAGTATTCGAAAGCTTTCTCCGACAGAAGACATCAAGTTTCAATACAGATATCTCGCTGAAATTTACACTCACTGAAGCAATTAAAAATACTGCAGTTGAGGAAACCTCTCAGGAAACAAACTCTTCAAATCGCAAAAATACCAGGAATAGTTTTCAATTTTCATATTTGAAAACTGAAGCTTATCAGAAATTGTTGTCATACTCTTCAAAGAAGGTAAGACCTTACATTTAATATAGAGAATATAATGCAGTATATTTCTAACTAACCAAGCCCCCTCTTCTAATTGTAAGTTTTTAGAGCAGATAAAGATGATAAGAGAGGAAAAACAAAACAACAACAAAACAAATTACACCAAGTGTTCAAATAGGTAGTCAGATCTCAGGAAGAATGATACCAACTGGAGAGAACTGATGGAATCGTGGACAGTAGTTAGTGGATCAGGTGTCTGGACACCAGCAGAGGTGTGTACGAGAACTCAGAGCAGACGTTTTGACTGACAACTGTGGTAACAGACCTTTCGATTTATACATAGGAAAGATTGTGCTCAGGAATTCTGGCTACATTACAATGCCTTAAAACAATGGCTGAGTACTTACTACAAAGTGTGTCTCTAAAGTCATGATGCCCGGAAATTTTCATGTTGCACGTGAAATTGGTCGACTGACATTGTAGTCAGACCTTTAATATGAGACTTTGAGAATGTATTTGTTTTTATACTTAAGCCAGGTTTCAAAGTCAGTTTCAACACCTTTATGATGAAATGTAAAATGTTCTTTTTTGTAATCAGTATGATGCTGATAAAATGCTCATTCTTCCTTTCATGATATCATAGTCATCTCTTTAGATATCCTTTCCCCACATTAAAGTAATCACAGTAATGACGATAATTCACTACTGGGGTTTGCATTATGCCTAATTGTGTAATTGTCGTGCATGGGCCTGTACATAGCCTCTATTTTCACATGGATACCCATCCAAAGTGTATAGTTGGAAATCTTTTAAATTATCCGTAAATACTTAATGGTAGATGTATAAAGCCAGGCCCTGTCCCAGGTACTGAGAATACTTCTATAAATCACAGTGACAGAGATTCTTGTCCTCAGGCAGTTGAAAGTTTAGCAGAGGGAGTTGGCCAAAATTGATAAACATGACAGCAAACCAAGAAAGCTGTTTTAGTCAGATCTTACACTTCTATGATGAAAATACCTGACAGGAGCAAAGTTAAAGAGGAAAAGTTTATTTGGAGGCTCATGGTTTCAGAGGTATCAGTCTATAGGCAGCTGACTCCATTCCTAGCTGAAGGCTGAAGGCGAGGTGGAAGTGGGGTGTGCAGGAAAGCAGCTCAAGACATCACGACAGGAAGCAGAAAGAGACTAAGCTCAGCTCCACCACATATGTACCCCAAAGCCATGCTCCCAATGACCCTCCTCCTCCAGCCACATCCTACCCACCTGCAGTTACCACTCAGTTAATCCCATCAGATTAATCATCTCACCTCTAAACTTTCATGCCTTGTCACACATGTGTGCTTTTGAGGGACACCTCACATCTGCACCATATTGGAAGCTATATCGTATTTTGAAAGTGATAAGTGCTATGAAACAAAGGAAAATTAGAGTCACATAGGGGAAATCAGGAGCACCCAGCAAGTGATCGTATTAAAAAGAAAGCTCAAGGCAAGTCTCACAGAGGAGATGAAATTTGAGCAAAGATTTGAAGGAGAGGAAATAGCCAAGCAGTTAGATGTGGGATATGTATTTGGAAGAAGAAATTGTTTAAGATAAGTGTTTAAGGTAGAATCCAATGTGGTAACTTGGTCAGATTGCACTGGGAAGAAGAAAGATGGGAGAGGTCCCCTTGAATCAGATCATGGTGGGTCCCCAATTCCATTATAAAGGATGTTTTTTTTCTCCATGTGGCAGGTCACTGAAAAATTTTAAATTGATCATTGAGATCATTTGTGACCTTGACAAGAGAAGTTTTGCCTTAGAGCACAGCATGATTGAGTTAGACTTAAGAGAAACTGGGAAGAGGGGAATTGGAAATAGTATAGAAAACTTTTTCAAGGAATTTTGCATTGAACAAGGGCCAAGAAATGGGTAGCAGTCACTCAGGCAAGTGAAGTCAAAAGAATTTTTGTTGTTTTTTTAAGCCGGAAGGAGTAATAGCATATTTGGAATGAAATGACTGAAACCTATCTTTGAAATATATTGAACCCAAGAACATCATATGTCTGACTCCAAATCTTAAAATAGACTTCCTAGTTTTAGCAACTGCATAAAAGAATCCAAGTTCACTTTGTGCATCTTTGTGCACTCCATTAAGAATTATTATGCAAGTCAGAAGATGAAGAGATTCTATGATTTCAAACATATGGAGTAAGTTCCTGTATTTTGTTGTTGTTGTTGTTGTTGTTAGAGGCTGACCCACCCACCCTCTGACTCCAAAAGTTAAGTTACATGGGCAATGCCCTTTGGAACACAGAGTTTGTTGCAATGTTCATATACATCAAGATACATATTTTAAAAGAAATAAAATGTTTTCAACACCCACAGTGACAGCAAAACCTCAAAAGATCCATCTGTAAAATAATGAATGTCAATTATAGTTTAGTTTTGCCTGGGTCAAGCTAAGACATTGATTCACACAGTTTAGTGTTTTAGTATTGTCTTGGAAATTGAAGCCATAATTCCTGGTCCTGGGAACACTCAACTTTCAAATTGTTTAGGCCAGCTTAAGATTTGTGGTTTAAAACATTGTCTTCCCTATCTGTCATTAATGATTGGGAGAACATAGTAGATGGAACAGAGAGACCATAGACCTACATTTTTAGTAAAGATGCTGTCACAGACTATTTGTGTGATTTGCAGCAAATAACTTGATGTTATTCAGTCAATGTCTTCTTGTCTGCAAAATACAAAGATTGTGTTTTATATATAATGTATACATTTCCTTCCATTTTAAACATTTTAAAATCAACTTAGGTATAACTTACACGCAATAAATATAAAGCTTTAAATGTGTAGTTACAGAAGTTTCGATTATTGTATACTTATTCAAAGTCATGAAGAAGATAAAGAACATATATTTCCAAACAAGATACAGAATATTTTCATCACCACAAAAAAATTCCATGATGCCCTTCACAGCCAATTTCCTACTGATCAAGTGGCAACTACTGACCAGATTTCTCTGACTATAGCTTAGTTTTTCTTATTCTAGAACTTTATAGAAATGGTGTCATACAGTCTAAATTCCGTTGGGTATGACTTCTTTCACGCAAAATGATATTTTCAGACTTACATAGTATATGTGTCAATAGTTGGTTCCTTGTTATTGCTGACTAGTATTCCATTGTGTGAACATGCTACAATTTGATCATCAACTCCTTGGTCCATTGGCATTTGAGCTGTTTCCAATTTTAAGCTATTCTGGACTAATTTTACTAAGAAATTCATATACATGTCTTTTTGTAAAAAATGTATTTACTGGTCATAGGTATGTATGAAAAATTAGAATTGCTAGTTGTAGGGTCGATGTGTATTTAACTTTATGAAAAATGCTAAACAGGTCTCCAAAGTGGCTTTATCATTTTACATTTGGACCACCAAGGTAGGAGAGTTCCAGTTGCTGTACATTCTCATCAGCAGTTGGTATTGATGGCATTTTAAGTTCAGATATTCTCATGGTCACTGTTAAAAACTTTGTTCTGGTGAAAGTTCTAGATTTTATGATTTACTTGAAGTAATTGTGATAAAGATCATATTTCTCTTCCTCCATTGATCTATAACAAAGGAAAAAATGTTTCTGCGTGTGAAAGGAGTGATTGATCTGGGTCGATTTCTGATGAGAAATCGAAATATCATGCTGACAACAACTTTCCTAGATGACATAAAAGCTCTGCCAACTACCTATGAGAAGGGAGAATATTTTGGATTTTTGGAAACCTATGGAACCCACTACAGCAGCTCTGGGTCTCTAGGAGGACTCTATGAGGTCATATATGTTTTGAATAAAGCTTCCATGAAGGAGAAAGGTATGCCTAGATATAGAATTCTGACTGCAGATGCCATATTGACTAAATATTATTTCTTCTGCTAACCTCTTTCAATAGATAAAATCTTTAAAATATCTTCTCCTTTGAGAGAATTCTGTCTTTTGACACCTAAAGTCCTATAAAACAGCAAATTGACTTCTACCTCGAATAATTTGATTTCTCTTGCACTAGGCAGCAACACTACTCACAGAGATACCAATAGGTATTAATTCAATTTAATACCTATTATATGGAATGCTACTTTTAGTGAAATGTTTTTCAAAAGGTGAAATAAGGTAGAAGCATGATTTATTTCCTCTATAGAAGGCTGGTTCCATTTATGCATGATGATTATCTTCCAAAGTATTCTTCAGTGTTGGAAGGAAATATTGTTCTAAATTTTCTCCAGAGGGAAAGAAAGAAACAATGTTATCATATAACTCAAATATCTTAAAGCAAGAATGGAAATTCGATTTACCTCATATAATGATAATTTAACCATATTGTGGTATTTGCATGAGGTCCATGTTGAGTAGATTTCTGGCCACACATGAAACCGTGGAAAAGGGGCCATAATTGATCATCAGTGTGTGTCACAGGTACAGGAGAGCTCTGTGCATAGTTCCCACCCTGGCCTCTGTGTTCATCTAAGCCTTTTAAGAATAAAGTTGATGAACTACATGTAGCAATATGAGCCTCTAGTCCCAGATACTCAGGAAGCGGAGGCAGCAAGATCCTATCTCATAAAAAATAAACAAATAAAATTTTAAAATAAAGTAGATGCATAGTGATCATGTTAATGAATTTTAATTTTATTTTTGTGAATGATAATGACTAGGTATGAATATTTCTTAAGGAGGTGATAGATGCCAGCATATCTCTCTCCAGCTTCACCATTATTGGGTGTCTCTTAGGAGGCAAGTGCCACTCAGAACCCTACAGGGCCAGCGAGTCAAGGTGTTAAGTATCAAGCAAGGAGTAGGATGCAACTGTGATCTACAACCTGACACTCACCCCACAGCCAGTGAACACTGTGTGGATTGAAAACACTTGGCAAGGCCAGAGTCATTGAGACTGAGGATGGTCTTGGGCAGACAGAAGGCTCCCCAGGAGTAGTGGACTGTGAGGCTGTTTGATTTTACACTATTGATTGGATCCACAGTACTGTGAGGTCTCTAGGAGCTCCACCTGGTGAGATATAGTAACAGAGATATCACCTGGAAAAGTGCACGGGAGGACTGCCTCTTGAGCCATTTGAAGAGAACAGCTCTGCAGGGATGATCCAAACAGAAAGAACCTTCAGAGCCTTTCACCCCTCTCTCGAATTTTTTTGGTAAAAAATCTTCATAAGCTGAAATCTTTAATTCTGGACTACTCAGAGCACTCCACGGACTTCTAATTCCCTCCTGGTCTTAGTAGATAGGATCTTCAGGTCAATCCTAGTCCCCTAGAATAGGAAGTCATTTTCCTCAATGCTCCAGTGCCAGCGCCTGGAGAAGAGCCATATCTCCACCTCCATCCAGGGCATCTGGGCACGACAGAGTTCCCTGCTGAGGCAGAGAATCTAAACCCTTTGGAGTCCTAGCTGTTTTCACCCTTCAGAATCAGTGTTCTCAAGCCTTGTTAGAGCAAGGATGCAAGTCTAGAATTCCATACTTCTGGCATTGTTTTCCATTTTTATTCCCCGTCTTCCCTGACCACAGGAAATGCTACCTGATAATTCTTAAGTTCTTTGCTAATTGAGGGTACAGCAGAAATATTTGTGAGGATTAAATTAGTTAATGCATAGAAGCTTGGAATGTGCATGTACCTTATATACAAACAGAGATATGAAAAATCGTGGTATATATTAAGAATTGTAATGCAAAATAGTACCTATATAATGATGTAAATTGACATGAACATACTTTATATAAAGAAATATGAAAAATTGTGCTCTACATGTGTAATAAGGATTGTAATGCATTCCACTGTTGTCATGTATTTAAAAAAATAATAAAATCAATTTTAAAAAAAGAATTCAATACATTTTAGACATCATTGTCCCCCTTCCATGGTCTTAGACAGAAAGAATTTTAATATAACTACCTGTCTGACCCATGTCCTTTTAAGAAAGAGGTAAACTTAGTATGTCCTTCTCTGTTAAGTTGACGAGTAAAGTCAAAAGGGAGGCTACAAGATTCTAATGCAAGAACAAAGCACATCAGATGTGAAGTAATGATTGCATTTGAGTGAGGTAATGATGTCCAGGAATCTAAGTTAGTACATTTCTTACAAAACAGCATAGCAAAATTAGGATTTATTTGTGATGTTGATAGACATTATGTAATAATTTTCAAATAAATACATAAAACAGATGTTGAACTAGAAGACATAAAGAGATGCCTCGGGTATAATCTGGATTTCTCTCTACATACCCCTGGGACTTCCGAAGGACTCGAAGTCTCGGCAAAAATTAATAAAACTGATTGTTTAAAGAACCATCATGGTAAAACTGGTAAGTATGGCCAAACTTACTAGGTTTAAGAAAGCCAGAGAAAGAACACTGCTCTTTCACAATGAGCCTTTTTTATTGTCTACCTTCTTTATTTAGAAAACTAAAAGTACTCAAGTACCATTTTACCTCTACAGTGGTTTCTGAACCACTGTAAGCATAATAACCCGTGGACATGCATTTGTCACAGTCTCTTTGTGCAGTGCTCAGGTCTAGAGGGTGTCATTCACACTGAACATAATGTATATTTCTGTATTTGTAGGGGAAATGCTAGAGAACCAGTGGTAGAAAATTTCTTTAAGAAAAGCATCCCCCAACAATTTAATAAAACGTTTTAACATCAGTAAAGAAGGCCAAACCATCTCCCCAAATGCACCTTCTACTGGACTTGAAAGCCCTAATCCATTCAACATCAAAACAGTGCACAACTTTTTGAAGTTGCAAATACCTTTAGTCTAAATATTACTCTCTGTTATTTATTGTTAGCAGATTTACAGACATGAGAGGTGATGGAATTCTCAACTCTCACTCGATTCAGAAGTGACTGAGGACATTTTTAGAGTATAAATGCTTGAGATTTATCTTTAGAGGAATAACTGGTAGTAAGAAGATTCAAGGGGGCAAGCCTGATATTTTCAAATCACATGCCATCATTTCTATATTTGGCCCTGGAATTAACTGTGTAATCTTTGGCAGATCATTCTACCTCTCTAAGTGTCAGATTTTTTCATCCATAAAAATGAGGGAGGATAAACAAGAACATCTTACAATTTCTTGTTAGTTCTAAACTTTGCAACTCTATAAGACTCACACAGCTTTGTTAAAAGTGCTCCCATCTATAGAGAGATTGAGGGAGAGACAGGTAGGATTCTGGGGTTGAAAGACAGTTTGCTTTCTGCATTACTCTGTTTTAGACTCTTCAGTTTCATTTTAATATTAACATTGTTTAAAGCAAGACTCTACAAAATGCAATTATGAAGGTGTGTTTGAAACAAAAATACATAATACTCCCCAAATCATGTAAAGTTCTCATGTGTATATGTGTAATGTGATGAGCTGTGAATTATCAATGTATCTAGATCATCAGTACCATTTTTATTTTTTAAAAAAAAGAAAGATGATTAAAGTCAATCATCATTCAAAGATGATTAAAGTCTATATACTAATTAGCTAATGCATAGAAATGCTTGGAACGAGTCCAGGCATGTACTGGTTCACAGAATTCCATATGCTCCTCCTCAAGCTCTCCTTCTCTCCTCAGTAAACATCACCAGCGACAACCTTATAGATGATGTTATTTCTTTCATAAGAGGAGGAACAAGGAAAGCTGCATTTGAACTGAAACAAAAGCTTCTCAAAGGAGCCAAAACCATCGATGTGACTGACTTTGAAAACTGGGCCTCTTCCCTGAGTGATGCTCCGGTGCTCATTAGTCAAAAGGTAAGGGATGTTTGTTTTCAAACAGACTATGTAATTTTTTAAATTAAATGTTACAGTTGGCTCAGGCGAACAGGTGATTCTAGCAGAAAGAGATGTGGGTCTTCAAACACACGCATGTCATTCTGGAGAGAGGCATGACAGACAGTCTGAATTCCTGTCTGTCCCTTGTTAGATGTATGCCACTTCTGACTTCTACAACACTGAATTCTTCAGACTTCCATGTTTTAAATAAGATTTTCTGTATTCAGTTTATAGCACAGACAAAATAGGCACCAAAAAAAAAAAAAATAGTTATTTCTTTGCTGTCTGTCGGTGATTGACACTTGCTTTCTCTTGGCATCACATGATCACGGAAGAGCTAATTTATGGAGAGTTGTCATGAGAGAAATGTTCAGAAGTTCTCCAAGAAAATGAGAGCAAGGGAAAGTAATTTTTATAGTCAGGGAATCCTTACCTTTCTCCCTCTCTCTCTCTCGTTCTCTCTCTCCCCCTTCTCCCTCCTCCCCTCCCTCCCCCTCCCCTCCCCCTCCCTCTCCCTCTCACATTTTTGAATCAAAGTCCTGTGATGTTGCCCACACTATCTCAAACTCCTGAGCTCGAGATCTTCTTGCCTCAACCTCCTGAGTAGCCAGGACTAGAGGCTCAACCTGCCTCAACCTTGATTGTAACAGTCTTCAACTTATAAACCTTTAGGAGTTCAGTCTTGTGTTTATTCCTAAGAACAATAAATCCTGTTCTGTTGTAAACATATAAATGCTAATGTTAGTTAACCTCATCTCTCTCTTCCCAAACTAATCAAAATGGGTGTGGTGGGTGGGAGTGTGTGTGTGTGTGTGCGCGCACACACACACACACGCATGTGCATTTACTTCTTCTTTTGTTCCTGATATGATTAGAAAGTGGTTTTCCTACTTCCTTTCAATAGCTTCAAATTTTCTGTCTTTATAAATTTCAACCCTCAGATCAAATTTATCTTTGCCCTCTACTTCATTTGATTAACCTGATTTACAGAAATGTTGACATTTTTTCTAGCACAAATTATTGGAGAATTTTATTTCCTCAATCCATTTTGTTGTCTTTATAAAGTGTGAGTGGAATCACCAAATTTATTTCATTTATGTAAAAAAAACTCAGAAACCAAAAATTTTCAATTAATTTTCCCCTTAGGTTATAAAAATACAGCTGTTCATAGATGTACAAATGTATCTATTAGTTTTCAAATATTTATTTCAAACTAGAACAAAGAGGAAGAAAAAGTCAGCTGAATTAGCATCTCTCCAGATAAAAATAAAATCAGAAGCCCCTTTTAGTCTATTATATTTAAATTTTATTTAAATTCATTATCTTGAACTTAGGAAAATAAATTCATGTTGGAAGATTTTAAATGAGTAAAGAATCGTCGACCCAGGTGGATATTTCCATCAAGATGGTCATCCAGAGGGGCTTATTTTCTCATCTCTACAGACCAAGTTCAACTCTTCTTGAATAGATGATCCAAGATTGTTCTCTAGGGAAGTCTTAATAATATCCACTACTTCTAGAGCAAATTCTTAAAATCTCAAGTAAATAAAGCATCTGCTGAAATTTTACTACTGAATTTCTGAGAGTATTCCCAGACTTTGATCAACTCACTTGACACTGTCACTGACTGGGAGCAGAATGCAGGGTTTCCCATTTTTAGGAGTGGCTGCTTACTCAGATTTTAGATGAGCAGGCCTACTATCTTCACTGTTTGTTCATTTCCTTCCTCATAAATTGAAAGCTTGGTCTTTTTATATCCATGTTCTACCCAAGGTCAGGGCAGCTCTAGTTAGTGCCCTGTAAACCATTTTTTAAGTTTATCTTCTTGTAGAGAAATTTCAGAAAACACTATACTATTTTGTTTTTTATTGACTTGGTGTGACTTTTAAATTCCTGAAAAGGTGTGAGATATAAGTAAGTTTGTTCGTGAAACAGATTCCAGGTCATTTTGTTCTCATAAATGTAGAAGTGGCTCTATGGTTAATTGGTTACTATATCTAGTAGATAGTAACACAGTTATAATTTCTAATTCATTCTTTGATACCTTTAAATGTACCTATTATCTGCAGATTATGTGTTATGGGAATGGTCCTAATATTAAAATAATTGTTCCTCCTATTTAATTATTTAAAGAATTGATAAAATCTCTTCCTACCCACTTCAAACTATTAATTGGCTTATGTTTAATCCTCTGAAGCAAATTAAATCATCTACCTAAGTATTTATGATGCAGTTATCTTAGAGGAAAGACCAGGAAGTTATATTACTCTTAGTAAAATGCTGTGTGCATATATTACTGAGATTTTCCAAGTAAAATACTCAATAATGATAATGATGATGATGATATATCAATATCTATAATTCTTTCTGCACTAAAGTAACTACGGCAATACTCTATAAGTAGAACCTGTGGTTTTCAATCTCACAATGTCTTAGTCCAACCCAGGAATTTTTCCCTGGCCTCTCTCCATGCAGAGGACATAGGCTGGACCATTTTTTCAGAATTTCCTTTTCTCACAGACTTAGATTTTCACAATAGTTTATTAATCCCATTGCTACTTATCTGAATGTTAACACAAATGTGGTACATTTTATTTCAACTGAATAGCTAAATTTTGGTTTCCTCTTAAACCTATGGCTACAAACTAGTTACAAAAAAAAATGTCAGCGGAGAGAAATGTTTATTACAGATTGCCTGGGAGATATAAAGTTTATGGTTTCCTCTAGAACAATAACAGCAAGCTTGGTAAAGCTACAATGCAGTCTGCAGGCTTCCTATAAAGTTTTGTTTCTGCATTATTAGAAACAAAATTATGTAGCCCAGAGATTTATTTTCTGAAAGGATGTTACATAATACAGTGTTCCCTTTATGAGAACTCACAGGAAAGATTATTCTTTAATTTCATTTTGTTTCTCTTGTAAATCAGATGGGTTTTCTTCTGTTCAGTTGTGTCTTCCTCAATGCACTAAAAAATATAGACATTTGTGCCTCATCTGTTTCAAAAGGAAGGATCCTCCTAGCACCCAGGCACCCAATTTGTTCATTTGTGTTGCTTTGCCTCCATCCTGCCTTTGTTGTTTCCAGGCCTTCTCCAATTTCTTTTGCCCAATTTTACCTGTGTATATGGTAAGAGACATGAGCTCTTTCTGGAGTAATATGAGGCAATAATGAACTAATGAACCAACCATTGTTGCTCAGTGGTGTGAATGTACACTGGGTGTTAGAGAGCATCCATATTAAAAGGCTGTCTTACCAGTGTTCTGTGATAGTTTTTACAACTATAATCATAGAGTGAAAATAATTTCTGTCTTCCACAGGGATAAAAAAATGAAGAAACTAAATTTTGGTATATACAGATTAATTGTTTTGGATGTCTAAAAGAAATCCGAATGTACTTACACTTAAACCATGTTGTTCATTTATTTGTATTTTAACAAGTTTCATGATAAATTGTGTCCACTTAAAATATATCTACAAATGGTAGAAAGGAAAGAAAGTTAGCTGGCATGGGAGAAAAATTAAAACTTTTTCTACTTGATAAAAGGCCAAAGTTTAACAGAAAAGAAACATGTAGATTTGCAAAAAAATTTCAAGAAGTACATTTTAATTATTTATTTGTCTACTGGTAGAATATTTGGCCTCAGGGTTTGAGGCTTTTCTGAAACCATTGCTATTGGATGTCCTTCATCTTTATCTCTCTGAACACTGTTTATATGTTTTATCCAAATTGTATTTCCTCCATGACCTCTCTTCCTGTATCTTAGATTATCTGGCCTTGACTTTTTCTTTGAAGAGTAAAACAAGATAATCTTTTATTTTCTCAAAAAAATCAAAAATAACTTGACCACATTGTTAATGCCAATGTAGCAGTATGGCAAGAGGCAACTTTCTTCTGAATAAATATAACACAGTTGAATTCTAAATTCTGTCTACTACTTCATGAAAGACTACACTGGTGGACAGTAGTGTTGACTTTGTCAAAATTCTTGGTATTTTCTGTATATGAGCCTATTCTCACTTAGAGTTGTTGCAAATATCTTGTCCAACTTAAGATTTTTTCACCCTTTTGGTGACTTTTTTAATGACAGAGACCCTCTTTTATCTTTCTTGAAGTAATTTGAGACTTACTAAGTAAAAATGCACAAATAGTATCAGCAGTAATATTGTAAAATAGTAGAGAGTTGACAGATGTCATTCTTCCAAAAACCCCTAATGTTAACAACCTACATGAGCATAGTAAAATTATCAAAATCAGAAAATTTTAATACTAACTATATAAACCATACACTTCACTCACATTGCACAAAATTTCCGCTTAATCTCTACTTTTTCTGTTCCAATTCCAATCCAGGGTCTCACATTGTACTTAGTTGTCTTGTCTCCTCCAATATGTGCAAGTCCCTCAGACTTTTCTTAGACTTAGATAATTTTGATCCATACTGGTAAGTTTTCGTGTCTCTTCATTTAGATTTCAAGTAGGTTAAGGTTAGGAGGAGTTGGCATTTTTTTCTTTTTTGAGGAACTGGAAATTGAACCCAGGGCACTAGACCACTGAGCTCCATCCCCAGTCCTTTATTTATTATTTTTTCTTTTGTTGGTACTTGGGATTGAAATCAGGGGCACTTAACCACTAATCTACATCTGCAACTCTTCTTATTTTTTATTTTGATTAAGTATCTCATTAAGTTGCTTAGGGTATCTTTAAATTGCTGAGGCTGGCTTTGAACTTGTGGTTTTCCAGTCTCAGCTTCCTGAGCCACTGTGACCACAAACTTAACTTTTATTTTGAGATAGAATCATCTCATTAAGTTCCACACATATACAAATATACATATACATATGCATAAACACATATATATTATCAGACTACCACATATATATATATATATATATACAATATATCATGCTGATAATATGTGTCTATGTATATATATGTATATATGTATATACACATATACACATACATACACACACTTATATATACACACATATAGTGTGTGTGTGTGTGTGTAACGACTTTCCATAGGTATACTGCATTTATATTTACATTTAGATCTATAATCAACCTAGAGTTTATGATTTAATTTTAAAAGTCATTTAAAATTTTTTCTCTATAAATATTTCATTGTCCAAGAACAATCTATTTAAAAGATTGTTATTTGTCTTAAGACTATACAGGACAGCTTTCATCTTTAGTAGGGTTTCTAAGTGTCTAGTTTTAGAATCTGTACAGTTAATATCACACTGTCCTAAGTAATATAACTTTTTGTCTGGAGGTACAGAGGAGCAAAGCCTTCCACCTTTATCTTCGTCAGAAGGTCTTGACAATTTGGGAATTATCTAAGTTTTATAAATTGGCTTGGCAATTTCAACCAAAAATACGATATCCAGATTTTGATTGGAATTTCAAATAATCCATAAATCAGGTTCATGAGAGTCTGCGTCTTAAAATGTTGAATCTTCTAGTCTATGAATATTAAATATCTCTCTATTTGTTTAGGCTTCTCAATTTTTTTCTAATTTCTCCCCAACATGTAATATTGTCACTATTATTTTAGCCTTTCTAGTGTTTTTTTTTTTTTTTTTAGTATTTATTTCATTTCTAATGGTCAATTTGGAGGGTTTTGTGGGCATTTGAACAAGTAAATACCATCTATGAAATATAACAGCTAACATCATACTTAGTAAAATATTGCATTTGTTCGAAGATAAAAAATAAAGAATAGATAACCACTCTCTTCTTTTCTAGTTAACAATGACATTCAGGTTTTGTAGTCAGCACAGTGAAGTAAGAAAAATAATAAAATGCATAAAGACTACAAAGGAAGGAGTAAAACTGTCTGTTTGTCTCAGAGAAAGATTGTTTACATAGAAAATACTAAGATATCTATATCTCTATACAACATTATTACTTCCTGATCAATCACCTGTGCTTCTTTATTGTTGATAATATTTTCTGCCTTAATTTCTATCTTGATAGTTACCTAGCTTTGCTAGCTACCTCTTTGTTGGTATACACACAGAATAATTTCTCCAGTCTTTCTATTTTTAATCTTCCTACATCCTCAGATTTTAGCTAGACTATTAAAAATCAAATATGATGATCTTTGTTATTTTATTTTTAACAAGTACTTATTAGGCATTTGTTATGTACTAGCATTTTTTTGGTAATAGTTAGGCTAAAACAGTGAATATAGAGAATAGGTCTCTGTTCTAGCAAACTTTTTCTAATATAATTAAAAAATACAAATAAAATAAATATTATATTGTTAATGATATCTTAGTATACATTCTTCTGGTTGTCAGTCTTCATCAGAATTACAGTAGCAAATATGAACTCATACAATGTGATTTTATATCCCATTTATGAGTCAGTGGTATATTGAAACCTGTTTAAAGTGATTTGATATTTAAAGGTAGATATTACTTATGTGTACATCCTTTTTATGTATATTGCAATGCATATATTCCATGATATGCATGGAACATAGTTTTTTTTTCTAGTTAACTACTAGAGAACACTGGAGTTGATTCCAGTTATGTTTGTGTATGCACTCATGAGATTATGAATAAAACCATAACAAACATTTGAATATGGGTTTTTATGAATATTTTTCCATAACTTTAGGAAAAGATGCTTGATCATATGGTATGTATATTTATATAAGTTATATAAGAAACATCCAAATTCTTTTCTAGAATACTTGCATTTTCGCCAGAAATATATGAAAATATATGTTTAGTTAAACATGTCCTCTGAAATAACGGTGATTTATGTATTCCTTTCCAATCTTTTTGGGTTTTATTTCTTTTTCTTGCCTTATTGGATTGTGTAGGACCTCCAGTGTTATGCTGAGTAGAAGTTGGAAGAAGAGACATCACCAGGTTCTCATTTCGAGGAAGAAAGAATTCTGGGATTTTTTTGTTTGTCTGTTTATGGGGTGTTGGAGATTAAACCTAGGGCCCAGGGACCCACATGTAGGCAAGCGCTCTGCCACTGAGTCATAGCCCCAGCCCTCGTAAAATTTTTGCATGAGTAGTGTGTTCTAATGCTTTCCTGTAATCTTCTATATTAGCATTTCCTCTTATTTTGGTTACCTTTAAGATTTCATCTTAATCTCGAGTGTATAGTAGCTTGGATGTGATATTCATATACTCCAGTGATGATAATGATGATGATGATTCTTGAAGTTCCCACAGTTTCTGAACTCTAGAATTTAATGTATTTAATTAGCTTTGAAACATAGTTGAGCATTTATCTCTTTAAATAGTTCTTCTGACATACTATACTCCCCATCCTTCCTTTTCTATAGTTCTCCAATAATAACCTGTGTTAGGTCCTTCAATATGGCCCCAAAGCTCTTGGATCCTCTCTTCTGGGTTAGTTTTGTCCCTCCAACACTTATCTCTGTGTTATAGTTTGGAAAATTTCTTTCAACCTTTTATCAGGCTTGCTAATTATTTCTTTGGCTATGTCAAGTCTATTAGCCCATCAGAGGGGTTTATTTTCTTCATGGGATTTTCTATTTGATTTTTATCGTGTTGTGTTACTAATTATCAAAGTTAAATGTCAGTCTACCTTCAAAATACTAAGGCATTTTGTTAAACTGCTTTTAAGATTTCTTTAATTATCTTTACTTTTTAGCAGTTTTGCTGTGATGTAATTAAGTTTGAAGAAAATTTCAACCTTGGTTTTCATTTGCAACCTTTTCACCAGGTTTGGAATATTCACAGTTGTTAGCCCTTCAAATATTGCTTCTTAAATATTCTGTACTTTTCTGCCTCTGGGGGACTCAAATTATATGACTCTCTGACCTTCTCACTCTATCACTTACCTCACCCTCTTCCTGCATTTCCCTTCCCTTTGTCTTTCTGTGCTTTATTGTCAATATTTTTTTCTGATTTGTATTCCATTTCATTACGTTTGCTTCAGTTGTGTCACGCCTGGTATTTAAACAATCCATGAATTTGTGTACTATAAAATCAAGTTCTAACATTTCTAGTTGTTTCCTTATTTCAGATGTGCTAGTTTAAAAACAATTTCTGTTCTCTGATAAAATTTTGTCTTGTCTCTTATCCCCCGCTTATGTGGATATCATTATTTGAAAGACTGTTTATATTTGGTAGCTTTTCAAAGTCTGATAACACAGAGATTGGCACCCCAATAGCTGTTTCAAGGGACACGCAATCATCCAGCTGCTTTTCTCAGAATGTGACACCAGAATCAGGAAAGTCTTTCCATATTTTCCAGCAAATGACTATTGAGCTGAAGTTGGAAGTTATCAAAGTATTTCAAGCACATAATGCAGAATTTAAGTCTTTATGCAGAGGAGGGTTGAGAAGATGTTGGTCAAAGGGTACAAAGTTAAATAGGAGAAATAAGTCTATGAGATCTATTGTACCACATGGTCACTATAGTCATTTGCTGGAAAATATGGAAAGACTTTCCTGATTCTGGTGTAGCAACTATATATCCTACTCCAGGAATTAGAGTGTGCGAGATAAGTCATTCTACTTCATTTTCTTAACATCTAGTTAAAACCGACATTGAACTTCTGTCCATCCAGGTTGCTGGAAAATTCATCCCTTCATTTATTGGATGAGGTTCAGGAAAGTCTTTCCTTGTCACCTAAATTAGTACAAGGATCCTGAAACACCTGTACAGAAAATGGGAGTGTGACCTTCCTATGCATTATTCACCTTGATAACCTCCTTCTTCAAGATTATAAGTCAAGAGTTTCTAAGCCCTCCTTGCTAGACTTCTTCTTGGAATCATTGTCAAGCCTGAATCTCCCTTCTTTATACACACCTTCCTTAGGGACACTCCACAGGTCCTTTTACCTCCCCAAATAGCCATGAGAGATCTAGTCAAGAAAGGATATCTGGACTTGGCCTTGCACACCAACCTTTTCTTAGCCAAGAAGTAGCAAGCACTTGGCTACTTTCTGGGAGGAGGAAGAGGGGAAAACAACAACAAAAACAACTATCAAACTCCAAATTTAAATCCCATAGTAGTTCATTTTTAAAACACATACCACTGTTCTTGGCAACAACTATCATAGTTTCCATTTCAAATTTATCTGTGTGATTAGTAATTCGTCTTCTTACCTCTATAATGTGACCTCTCTGTTAGCAGACCCCAGGACTAGTTTTGATCATTAGTATAGTCTTAAAAGTTAACTCCATACCCGGCAAAAATAAGCATGCAAAATAGTCTTAATGAATCAGAAAATAAACAATTGAATATTTTACAATCTTCTGTGTAAAAAACAAAACAACAACAACAAAAATAAAAACCTAAAAGTAAATGTATTGCTTTCTTGCAGTTGTCACCTATATACAATCTGATTCCTGTGCAAATAAAAGATGCACATGTAAAGAAACAGAATTTGGAGAGAGCCATTGAAGACTACATCAATGAATTCAGTGTAAAAAAATGCCACCCATGCCAAAATGGAGGAACCAAGATTCTGCTGGACGGACAGTGCCTGTGTTCCTGTCCCCTCACATTTAAGGGACTTGCCTGTGAAATCAACAAACAAAAAACATTTTAGGGTGAGAACAATATAAGTTATTAAGGGCAAAATATTTACTTTGGGGTCATTTTAATTTGAATTAATCTGAATTAAACCTCTGTGTTAGCATTCTCCATATAAATAGAGGATCAAAATTAGTGAATTAAAAATTGAGTAATAAAGAGTGGAAATAGACAAACCAGGCGTTTTATGTCATTTCCCCATGTTTTACCTCATGTATTTTAACAGAAACACAAACAAAAAGTAAATGATAGTTATCACATTGCTTTGCATTGCTTTTAATTATAAAAAAAAAACTTATATGAGAAGTTTACATAGACATAACAAACATTCAGATACTTACCATCTAGAATTAAGAGATGCTAAATATATATTTCATGTAGTTTTTATGTGTAAGTTGTACACTGTGCATAGATGTATGTTCCTGTCTGCAGCAGTGGACATAAACATATGCTTCCGAATTATTTTTAATGAGACAGTCAGTAGAATTCTTAGTATCCCATCTCCCCCCACCCTAGGAGTCCTGCTGCCATTCTTCTTTCCTACTGCTCAGATGGAGGCACTTCCATTAAAATTGGTATGTGTCCTTCTAGTCCATATTTTTGAACTGGTACTAAATATGTATGCATCAACAAAAAAATGATATTGTTCTATATTTTAAAAGCTTTAAATAAATGGAATTTGCTAGATTTTTATTTCTAACTTTAGTAAAGATATTGTCAAAGAAAGCTAAGATTCTACATTGCATTTTAAAGCTAATTATGTAGAATTGTTGATTTTTTTAACAAAGAGGAATAACATTGGCTATGTTTCACATACTAAGAGGGTCTTCTTTGTCTTTCATTAGGGTAGAATTAATTAGAATCCTAATAGATAAGTGAAATTATCTATTGTCATTATTAGTACAAGAGTTAGTCATCATAGGATTTGCTACTAAGATTAACTTCCCAGAGCAATCGTAGCTCACATGGTTTGATTGAACGAACAGTTTCCTGCAACAAAATTTCTAAAACAATTATTCAGTTTTCTAAAACAAAGATTCACAGCCTCAAATTTATCATTTAACCACACATTCATCTCTTACAATAAAACTTCTACTATTTTTTGCAGTCCTAGCATACATGCTTAGAAACTCATTGGTAGGGTGATAAAATGCATATTAAGATTAAAGTTATATTTTAAGATTATTGATTTATAAATATAGGTTAACTCTGTCTCTCATTTATCTACAGTGTCAATTCAGTGTTTTTCATTCCTGAAAGCATTTATACTCCCCCCGCAAATCTCTGTTGTTTGGTACTCTTATATTGTCAACCTGTTTCTCTTTATTTGGAATATTCTGATACTTTCTCTATGATTTATTTCATTCTGGCTTCTAATTTTCCAACTATTTAACTGACCTATTGAGAATTTTTTTATATTATTTTTCTAAAATTTGGTTCCTTTTTTTCAAATCTGTTTCCCCTTTCCAAGCCACTGTGTTATTTCCCGACCTTTATCTCTTGAACATGGTAAGCATGTTCACATGGAAGTCTCTCTACGATTCCTCGCGTGTGTGTGATTCTGCAGTGTAATTCTCTGCTAAGTCTACCACAGCATTACTCACTCTGGAGGCATTTGTTTTCCCTTAAGTACTTGGTGATTTTATATTATATGGTTAGTCATTGGTGGAAATTATTTCCTGTGGGAATCCACTCTACCCTGGCAAATGGAGATGTTCCAAAGGCTAATTTGCTTTTGGGAGGTCCTGTTGTTTTCATCAGTTTTATACCATTTTTTTATGTAAATTGCTTGATTTAGATTCTATATATTGTGTTCTTGGATAAAGAAAATCAAGTTCCTTCATCCAATATATAATATTTTCTGGTTGACATTTCACACCTAACCCAGGATGGTCCCTCAGGTCCTGCTGAGACATTAGACCAGGGTGAAATATCTCACATAGATTTTTTTCCCATGAGGTAGCTCTCTTCCAGGTAGTCATTTTCCTGTAGAATTTTAAGTGCCAGTTTCCAAGTTAAACCGGACCTACTCTTATGGTGAAATTGAAACACCTAACACATCATCTTTCATTTTGCATACCACTTACTAACCCTGGACTGATCCAACTTTCTCTTCTCTGTACTAATTCAACTTTCCCTTCTTTCATTCACCTTTTGTGTTTCTATTCATTAGAGACCAATGGTTCTCAAATTCATTATATTTTCCTGGTTAGTTTCTTTTAAAGGGAAAAAAAAATGAAAACAAAAAGCCAAACAGATGTCCTTCAAGCCAATTAAATCAGAACCTCCCTAGTGGATCCTGCCTGAGAATTGTTCTTTCTTTCTGTTTTATATCCCACTGGTTATTCTGACCTCTGGCCAGGTAAGAACACCTCTATTCTGAACCCAGGCCAATTAGCATCTCTGATGAAACTTTCTCCAGTTTCTACAGGAATCAGGTCTCTGTTTATGTACCCTGAAAAATCTTTCCCCTTGCTGCTCCAACACTTATCGTATTGACTCTCCCTCACAAGGTGAATAGCTGCCTCTACACGTCATCTAGAGGCTGTGGCACATCATGGCGGGATGGAATCGGTGGGCGAACCTAAACTTGAAGTCTTATTGATCATTAAGATGTGATAAATCTTTTGTTGTTTCTTCTAGGATTGACAGCCCCTCTCCCATCTAAACAATAGAGCTGTTGGCTTCCCTGGGCTCACATGGAAGAAAAAACACCAGGACTTTCCAATTTAAGATGGTACCCATGGAGATAATCCTTGCTGCTAAGTAAAAAGCCACAGGCTTCATGAAAATCCTATCAACCTCTGTCGTCTCTTCTGTCTTAGGTCTACGATGCCTTTGCCTCCCTCTTAAACCCCTCTAATGTTTCCATTTTGTATTCCCTAATGAAAAATCAGCAGTGAAATATGCCAACACTGCTTTTTCCCACAGGCAATGCGAATCTCTAGCTAATAAAACAAAATTAAATTGAAAACAGAATCTTTGTTTAAAAGACTTTAAAGTAATTGCCAAACTGCTTTGTATGATTAATATATTCCACCAGTTCAATTACCACAAGTCTGTACCATGCAATTTAGCTCTTATTTATGTAGTTGTTTTGTTTGGTTATTCTTTTATGTGTACATGCACTCATTTGGTAAATACTAAACACCTACGACACTATAGTACTCTGTTCTTATTAGTCTTAGCTCTCCAACTTAACTCTACATGTCCAAGGGAAAAAAAGTGTGTTGTACTTGTAACCAAAAATTGTTTGAGTAAATCATGTAAAACCATGATTTTACAACAAAACAAAACAAAATCTAGAAAACAATATGGTACAATTTAATACCTATCCTTATTAGTTGTGTAAAGTAAGGTTACCTCCCTAAGAAGCTGATTTTTAAATTGTCTGTACAGTTTTATCCATTAAATGATGTGATATTTAGGACCTGAGAACTTTTGAAAAGGTCTGAGAACTTTTCAGAGAAAGAAGAAAGAAAGAAAGGATGGGTGGAAGCAGGAATGGGGTAGGGAAGAGAGGTAAGAGAGAAGACCAGCAAAAAGTAAAATGCAAAATCAAAATTAACAAATGTTTAATTAAATGTTGACAAAACGTATCATGTCAACTTCATTAATTGCTATTCTGAATATTTCATGCATTTAAAATAATGCTTTTCATTTTTTTCTCACTTTTTAGAAATTCTCAAGAATGTGTATGATTTCTGAGGCCTCACAGTAAATAAATTATTCATTGGCAAGTAATTTTAAAAGCAAAATTTAGAAATGATTTTAAGTTTTTAACAGGAAATGAAAAGATTAGTAAATATGAGATTCATTTTTATGTATACATATTAAGTATGAAATGGAGATAATATTCTGAAAATAAAAGTGTCCAAACCCTTCAGAGTCTTAAATTTGAGAGCTCAAAGAAGTGCTATCCCCTGCCCCCGAAACATTGGGTGAATCAAAAAGATTTAGTATTTTCTAGGTGTATGTAATGCTGAACTCTGCAAACACTCTACCACTGCCAATTTTTTTTTTTTTTTAATATGGAGCCTCTGTACCAAAGGGGAATTACTAGAGCAACTACTGAGAATTCCTTCTATCTTCATGAATTGCAAACTTCAAAAAAGAAAAAAGCTGAGAATTTACTAGATCCATAGGATCAGCTTAATGATTATCAGAGTTCTTTCTGCTGGTGCTGATGACGGTAGTCCAGGTTCACTTTACATATATGTTTATATATATATATACACAGACCCCCCGCCACACACACACACACACTCATATATATGTATATGTATTTGGAGGGGCTACTGTGGATTGAACCCAGGGCCTCACATGTGCTAGGCAAATGCTCTACCACTGAGTTACATCCCCAGACTCCCATATTTGTTACTGATGGCTCAATCCTCCACTCTTACCAAAGGTGGTGCACCTGGTAGGGTGTTTTTCCAGCAGGGTGCGCCATTGAGACGCCAGAAATTACCCAAAACTCAGCACAATGCCAAAAGACTATAGGCTTAACTAAAGGGAGAATCATTAGAAACTGGGAGAGATGAAGACTGTTTTGGTTCCATGACTCCATCATGTTTGGAGACGGCTGGTGTAGCTTAATCTGGGCAGATGGACTACCCCCACCCCACATGTTCTCCGAGAGGGATACGTAGGGACACTTTGTTTTCTGAAACTCAGGACATACATTCAAAATCATTTCACCGAAAGATAAAAAGGGGTTATTATCAATAGTACCCAGAGGAGCTAACTAAGTATTGACATACTTTAGGACTTGATGAGGAAGCTTCAGAGCCTTGCTATGTTGTTACACTTTTCTTTTTTTTATAGTCAAAATTCATGTTGCTTATTCGTTCTTTTTAATATAGACACATACCTATAGACTAATCAATGTTCAAGGGGTGAGTCAACCTCTTGCCCATTCCCTATTAACATGCTGAGAGCAGCAAAATGCTCCCATAGAGGGGACTGGTGTTGCTATTAAACAATGAACCCCTAAGCTCTACATCTGCTCAGGGATGCTATCTCTTTCATGGAATTGAAATCTTTCATATAAATCTCAGTACCTAATAGAGAAGCAAACAAATGGCAGCTATTATTTGTCATCATGAAAGGCTGTTGGTCAAAATCCTTATAAATGTAATTCTAATAAAAGTGTGACATTAGACTACAAAAAAATTCAATCTCTGAAAATTGGGAATAATGGTATATGGCAGAGTAGTTGGTACTTTGGTCTAAATAATTAATGAGTTCAGTGTTTTGTGATTGTTTTTAAAGGAGTGTTTTAGTCTTTTCATCAAAAGCTATAATAAAATATGCTCAACTGAGTGGCTTTAAAACAACAGAAATTTATTTCTGACCATTCTAGAGACAAAGAAGTCCAAGATTAAGACACTACCAGATCCTATGGCTGGTGAGGGCTAACTCTTTGGTTCGCAAATGGGACCTTTCTGCTACATCCTCACGCGGTGGAAGGGGCAAACCATCTCCTTCCTTCAGGCCTTTAATCCCACCTGCAAGGGATCCGCTGTCATGACTAGTCACCTCCTAAAGTTTCCACCATCTTAACACCATCACATTTGAGATTAGATCTTGACATATGAAATTTGGGGTAAAACAATCATTCAAACCATAGCAAGGATTTATTTTTTTCATTGTGTCAAATATACATGGGGAAAAAGTTATTCTTTCAACTGTTTTTTAAGTGTGCAATTCTGTGGCTTTAAGCACATGTGCATTGTTGTGTAACCATCACCAAAACTTTTTCTTCATTTCCCACTAAAACCCTGTACCTATTAAGCAATGATTCCCTGTTCTCCACTCCACTAGCTCTTGTTAGCACGACTCTCCTGATGTCTCATGTAATTGGAATCATGGAAACTTTTTTGTGTGTGACTTATTCTACTTAGCGTAATATTGTCAAGGTTTATCTATGTTGTGGCACATATAAGAATTAAATTACTTTTGAAGGCCAAATAATAGTTCATTGTAGGTATATTCCACATTTTGTTTTTCCATTCATCACGGTTAGCCACTTGGGTGATTTCACCTTTCAAATAATGCCGCTGTATTATTATTTCTTCCAGTCCTGTCTTTCAATTCAATTTAGTATGTGTACAGAAGCTAGGTTGCTGGTTCTTGTGTTAATCTATACTTAATTTGTTGAGAAATGCCGTACTGTTTTCCACAGTAGCTGTACCATTTTACATTCTCACCAGTAAAGACCAAGAGTTACAATTTCTCCACATCCTAGTTAACACTTGTTGTTTTCAGAGATTTAATTTTTATTCGTTTTGGTTTTGGTTTTTGGTAGGGATGTAAACCAGGTGTGCTTATCCAGCTCCTTCTTAGCCCTTTTTATTTTTTATTTTGAGACAAAGAGCCTCACTAAGTTGCTGAGACTGGCCTCAAACTTGCGATCCTCCTGCCTCAGCCTCCTGGGTCACTGGGATTATGGACATGCATCATCACACCTAAGGAGATTTTTTGGATTTGTTAGGTTTTGTTTTATAATTGCCATCATAATAAGTATGATGTATTACCTCGATGTGATGTTGATTCTAATTTCCCTAATGATTAATAATGCTAGGCATATTTTTTTGTCCATATTGGCCACTTGCAAAGTCTTCTTTGGAAAAATGTATGTTTAAGTCTTTTGCCCAATTCTGAATCACATAGTTTGCTATGTTGTTGTAGGAGTTCTTTATATATTGGGGGTATTAATCCCTTTTCAAGTATATGATTTGAAAATGTTTTCTCCCATTCTGGTGGTTGTCTTTTTTTTTACTCTCTTGATAGTGTTCTTTGATGCACAAAAAAAAAGGCTTTAATATCAATGAAGTCCAATTATGTATTTCTTTTGTGACCTGGGAATTAGTGTCATTTGCAATAAATCATTAGACCCAAACATAAGTGTTATAAAACCTTTCTCCAAGGTTTCCTGCTAAGTGTTTTGCTTTTATTAGCTCGTACATTAGGTCTTTGATCCATTTTGGTATTTTTGTCTGGTGTAATCTAAGGCTCCAACTCATTCTTCTACATGTGAATATTTGGTCCATCCAGCATTATTTGTTGATCAGAGATTTTTATTTTTTAAGTCATGTGGTACCTTGCTTAAGTCAGACTGGGTTGGACAAGAGAGAAAAGGGAGAAAAGAGGGTCAGAATGACAATGAATAAATATGGTCTAACAATTTCATTTTCATAGTCACATTATGAGCACTCCTAGTTTTTCCAACAGCATTATTAAGTAGTAGCATTAAGTTTCAAATGTACAATAGAATTAAAATTAGAAACAATCCTATTCTTTTGGCCACAGGAAGATTGCCAGTAGGTTACTCCCAGGTATGGATAATGGTATATTAGATCACAGAATTTTGTATACAGAGTAGCTTCCTGCCTAAGGAACACTAAACTGAGCAATAAGGGCAGGGGAAAGACTAAACTTGAATAACCTTTTAAATAGAGAAATAGGGTGATTCCAAGGGAGAGAAAGAGAAAGAGAAACTCAAGGAAAAAATGTAAAATTTAGAGAATGATTTTAAATTTTAAACAAATTTCAAATCATATTCTAAAAGTGTCCCCCCAAAAAACTATGTCTCTACCAACACTTAGCCTGTATTGAAATGAAAATATTTCTATGTTAACAATTTTAAAATAGCAGACTAAGAAACAAGAATATATTTACACTTGCAATTAACTGACAGAAAGTGGGAAGGAGAAGGACTCAGGGAATGGCACTATAATTGTTTCTCCTTTTCTTGTATCCTCTGAATGGCTTTATTGCTCCTCTGTTTATTTTCTAACCATTCTGGCTTAACTTTTCTGTTGCAAACCTGGAAAGGAAGGAAATTGGGAAGGAAAGGGAGGAAGGGAGAAAGGAAAAAAAAGGGCAAATTATCATTCATAAACTGTCAAAAGCAAGAACAGACTGTGAGGACGTGTGTCACTTGATCTCCTTGTCTGGAAGACCTGGTAAAACAA